AGAGATTTTTGTCAGAATAAGGGTTTGAGGATTCGATTTTGTAAGTTTCCAGTTATTCTTAGCACTTTATAGAATGTTTGAGTTAAACAAGAGTAACATTTTCATGGTGAGTACTCAATTCCTGCACCTTAATCGTGCAGCTAAGTTCTCATCAACAAATCCAAAAGTAAGGAAGTCTCCAATGAATAGTAATAAGAAAATTTCTGTAGGAAATACTTTGCATTGTATTTTCTATTCAAATAAAAAAAATTATTCTTACAATTCTTCAGTGACATTGTCTCTTTAGTTCAGACCACAACCAAGAAAACAATCTGGTAGTGAATAGTTGTTGTGGTTTGGAGCTTGCTCCCTGTCAAGTCTCCAACATCACAGCAAAAGTTTCTCCCCCCAAAAACCAAGGGAAAAGAAAAAAAAAATAAATAAGAGTGCTAAAGCAATATACAAATATATTTACACTTATATTACATTTATATAAAATTACAAAAAACTATATACATATAAGAAAGAAACCTCCAACACCTCCAAAGGAAAAGGGAAAAGGGACAAAACAAAACAAAAAAAAAACCCAAAAAACAGGTATACACACTCAATAAAGAACTAGCCAAAGAAAACCTTAATACTTTCCTTGAGATTGCACAATCGCGCCAAATGCCACCACCACGCCACCGGACCCCGGATTGGCAGAAACAACAGGCCCCATAGACCCAGCCAGGCCTCAGCTCCCCCACAGGAGCGAGATCGGCTGCGGGAGTCTCCAAACCTCATCGGAAGAGGAGAAAGGAAGAGGTTTCTCTCTCCATCTTATTTATTTGTTTGATTACATAAAGGAATAGGATGGAATACTTTCTTCCTTCCTTCCTGGTATTGTAATGGTTTTCAGTCTAGGCCTTCCTTTCTGGCAACAAGGAAGGAAGGCCTAGACTCAAACCATTACAATACTTTATCCAAAGGATTGGTTTTTTTCATCTGAGTTTTTTTTCCATTGAGTACTACAGTCCAAATACAGTTTTCTAATATTTTCGGTTGAATTTCTTATGAATATGTTTTAAAATTTATATATATTGTTCTTTAAGTTTTCCTTACTTTTTTAGCATTTCTTGGAACTCAAAGCTTCACCTTTTAAATGTTTTTTACTATTTTTTAAAAAAATTACAGGTAGGAAGAAGGAAAATTTTTTTAACAGAGAAGATAAGTATTAACCTATTTTAATTTTATTGTTACGGTGCATGCCTCTTTGTACTTAAATCCCTAGATTTGAAGAGAAACTAAGTAAAATGTTTTTCTTCTGTGTTGTTTGTGTTCAGGAGGCACCCAGAAACCATAATAAAGAAATGTATGATTATACTAAGGCAAGAAATTCTAAGATACAATACCTGTGCAAAAAAGTCTGTTCTCTGAAAAGAAGAGAGGGAGTCACAAAAGAAGAGGTACAGAATAGCAAAATGATTGCCAGGGTTAGACAGCACACTAATGTAAGTGGACAATGAAGACTGTATTTCCTATAAGCCTGTGCGCTTGCCTTCTTCCTGGAACTATGTTGCCTCTCGTATTCAGTTATCAATATATGAACACTGTAGTGCTACATTTACAACTTTTTGCCAGAGAAGAATACATAGATATGAATTAATGAAGACGCATAAGCCAAAGATAAGCAGATAAGAAACATCACTTTCTCAATTATTTCATAGTTGAAAAATGAAAACTCTTGGACCTCAATTCTCTGCAACATTATCACTAGAAATACACCAGGGCAAAACCTGCATTTCTGAGGAGAAGGCCCAGAACATTCAAATGATTTGCAACAGATTACGTGGGAAATCTATAGTAAAACATTTACCTTGGATTGCTTAACTCCCAACCCTGTATCTTAATCACAGAATGCTTCTTTCTCCCTAAACTAAATGTGATAAATGGACAAATCTAAATCTAACTCTTCCCCCTCTCTAAAGGTATCTTAGGAGCTCTCAATCATTTTGATGGGTTTTCTCTGAGCACAGTTTCAGACAGAAGTTTGGCCTTCTAGTTTGTTGGGTTTTTTGTTTTGTTCTGTTTTCTTTTAAAATGGTTGATACTTTATTAGAAGGAAAATTACTACTACTTCTAAAAAAAAAAATCTTCGTTGTACCAATCTTCTTTGTACCTTTTATTCATTCTTGGTATTTGACATTTTGGTTGAAAGTATGTTTTGGGATACAGTATAATTTCCAAAGTTTAGAAACTATTTCAATAACTGTGTTAAATCATTTGTAGATTTATATTTAAGTTACAAGTATTTTAATCCCTTTGGGTTAAAGAAGATTAAATGACACATACATACCCTCCCTATATAGTACTGATTTCTTGAATGCTATTCTAATTGTTATGTTATAAATAAGTTCAAAACAATTATATTTTTACTATGCAACATTTTATGTCCTCTAAATTCTTTGAAATTTTACCTTGGAGCTCTTTTTCAACTTCTTCTTCTTTTTTTTTTTTTTCTTTTTTCAGGCATAAGAAATAAAAAAGCTCAAAGAAGGAGAGGTAGAATAAGCATACAAACTTACCCATAACAAGAAACTGTTATTGTAGATAGGTTCCTGAGAATAGTTGTGGAGCCATATGAGTTTATAGAAATAAACTAAAAAGTTTTTTTTCATAGAAGGGAGTATAGTTTGTTCTGAAATTAATTCAGATATAGATTTTTCCTTTCTACTTGAAAGTCTACTTGTTTGGTTTGAACAAACAGGAAGAATGGCATATGAAATGGCAGGATGACATCTAACAGAATCATTGAAAAAAATTCTGTATATATTATCTAACTCACCTGGCCCACTGAGAATTTAGAAGATGGAAGACTTGAATTTAACATTTCATAGTAGGACCAATTTGATGCAAATTAAAATAGCATTTTTGGGATGTCGATTTGCTTGAGAAATTTCAACTCAGTAAACATGAAGTCATTCACTGTACTTGTTAAAAATGGGGTTTGGATTCCTGGAAGCAGTATCTACAATATCAGTTTGGAATTAGGGGCTCAGACATGTTGACAGTAAGATAAGTCTTCATTAAGACAGTTGGATGTGTTTCATGAATATGCGACAGAGAGGTACACTCAGAGCATGATGTTAAAAAGACTGAAAATTTATATAGGTTACTCTAAAAATAGTCTAAATTTGGCCTCTAACAATTAAATATTGACAGGGACTGTTTATATCAAACACATAAATTGGTTTAGAAATTTAACACTTAATTATCTGCTATAAGATTCAGCTTTTAAATGTCATGTATGACCTACTTCCCCTTGGTCAAAGGATAAGGCAAAATGCATATTTTTATATTCTGCTACATTCATATTCTACTACATTTTATATTCATAGTTTTATTTTCTACTATGTCAGTTGTCTCTTAGGCCACAAGCCTCATTTTCTTAACACGCTTCCATTTTATCCAAAACTACCCATACTAGCCGTAAAGCTGGGAAAAAATGCCTACAGGAGTCTGTGTTTACTTACATTCTTTTTCCTAGATATTGCTGCTTTCAGATATTAGAAGAGATGATAATCTCAAGTAGCAAACAAATGGGGAAGGAGAGGAAAGGCGCGACAGGCAAAAAACCAAAGTATATCATGCCATTCACCCCTTGTTTTATATACAGTTTCAAGCAAAATCCAGAACCATCCTAAACATCTTGGTTTGCAATAATACTCCATATTGATTCTGCACCCTAGCAATGTGTCTACAGTATACAAACCACATCTATAGTGACACTGGCATAAATAACACTGAAAATGGTATCGCAATTAAAGATGTGTTATATAACTCTTCATACTTACAGGTAATTTCAGATTGTTTTCTGTTTCATTTACTGGTTCATCTACAAGTATCCATGAAGCAGTATTTCACAAAACCTTTACTTAAAACCCATGTCATTTACTATGTATCCTGTATTACATCAAGGTGAGAGACTATAATAAGTCCACTCAAGCACCCTAGAAGCCCTGTTGCAAAATAGCCTGTATTATTGTGATGAGTATTTAATTTAATTGATTACAGGGAGTAAACAATCAGATTTTCCACCTAGTATAGTTACCAGCTTGTCAGAAGGTCAGGAGATCAAGGATCATAAAATTTAGAGAAATATTAACAAACACAAAGTGTGTCACAGCTGAAATCACATCAGAAAGTCACAGCACAGAGATCATTCCTGTATGAAGATCCACCATGTCCCCATTATTCCCTATGAAGTCAAACCCCTGTAACTACAGAGACTTCTAACTCCTGTTTGCTCTCCATTCTGCTCACATCAGTGCAGGGGCACTTCAGAGAGGCAGCCAAGTGTGCTAATTCGCTACTACATGCTTGAAAGCTTTCTCCTAGAAGATGCTCTACAGGCATTTAGTTGTTTACATGTCTACCTCACAAAGATCCACTTCAGCTTCAGCTGGCCAGCTTGCTGCTGAATATAACTTTTCCCCATGTAGCCAAGTGGATCTTGTCTCTTCCAAAGAGCTGTTGAGCATCTTAAAGGTCCCATGGTCATAGACACCAAAACCCTCTTGGCACGACAAGCTATATGACACATTGGATCCACTGAGTCTTCCTCAGAACTGTCTGCTTTCCCTAGAGCACTGCACCCAGAATCCTACAGGTAAGACTTCCTACGTCTCAGGTCACCCCAGTAGTATCACTAGTGCTTACACAGAAAAGCAATGGGGTAGCAGTCAAAAGGCCAGAAGAGCCTCTGTAGTCCCTCCACAACATCTCAAATGCAAACCCCTATGAAGAAACAAACAAATAAACCTCCCAAGGGGTTAAGTCAAATAAGCAGATGAGAGTCTCTGTGCCCTCCAGTGGAGAGTCTCCTACCATTGTTGTTCACTACTTCCATCTAGTGGTTATGTGTATGACTCAGATTCAGCCATCTTGAGGTGCTCCATTTGACAGCACTCCAAGACTCTCATCTGCTACAAGGGCGGTTAACCTCTTCTGTAACTGCAAACTAGGAGATAGGGTCAGACCTTTTCTCCTGGTAGGAGAAATCATCAGCTTCTGGCCTTCTTTGCAATGAGAGTCTTCATTTCTGATTTCACAGGTACAGGATCTTTCTATCCCTGCAGTTAGAGATTCAGAGTCCTGAAACTGAAGAGCTCAGAGGAGATCAGGTTGATCTCTTTCTTATAATTTCTGATGCTGCACAGTCTGCTGACCTCCACACAAAGCACTTGGCAGCACAACTTCTCAACAACTGGCATCTCCTGCACACTAAAAGACTGTGTGACCAAGAGTCAGCAAGAGATCTTGGGCAATCCCCGCAGCCAGAAACACGCAGAGCTGCAGCCTCCTTGCAAAGTCCTGTATGGTTCTAAGAATGCATTAGTAAATGGACAGTCATTCTTGCAGTAGTAAATGGACGGTCATTCTTGCAGAATTGGAGGAAAAAACTGTGGTGTGTGATCATGTGATCACCATACCTAAGAACGTATACGCAGTACAGGAAAAGCTTGCTAGTCTGCTGGGGTAGAATTAATTTTCTTCATAGCAAATAGCACGGGGCCATGTTTGTATTTGTGCTAAAAACAGCATTGCTAAGACAGGGATATTTTCATTATTGCTAAGCAGTGCTCACACAGAATCAGGGCTTTTTCAGCTCCTCACCCCACCAGAGAGGAGGCTGGGGGATCTCAAGAAGTTAAGAGGGGACACTGCTGGGACAACAGACACCAACTAGCCAAAGAGATATCCCACACAATATGACATCATAGATGGGGAAGAAGAAGGAGGTGAGGGGATGGGATGGATCAGAGTTATGATGTTTGTCTTACCAAGTAACCATTATGAGTGATGGAGCCCTGCCTTTTTGAGGATGGCTGAACACCTGCCTGCCAAAAGGAAGTCGTGAATTAATTCCTTATTTTATTTTGCTTATGTGCACTTGGCTTTTGTTTTACCTCTTGAACTGTCTTTATCTCAGCCTCTGAGCTTTCTCACTTTTATCCTTCTGATTGTTTCCCCCATTCCACCAGTATTGAGTGAGTAAATGCCTGTGTGGTGCTTAGCAGCTAGCTGGAGTTAAACTCTGATATCACCCTGATGCATAAACTGCCTGGCACTTAACAGGATTAGAGAGTTTGATCCTCCCCAGTCCAAGGTTAGCTGGAACAAATCCTTGATCAATGACAGCTGACAGAGTTCCTTAGGAGCTGCTAGGGCTCCTCTTTGTTCTTAGCCTTACCTCTTAGCAGCAGAAACCTTCAGAGGGTTTCCAGGAGTTCCCGTACCCAGGCAAAGTGCCCAGAAATCTTGACAAGATCTCAAGAAAATCTGAAAGAAGCAGAGCCCAGAAACTTCTGTACAAACCACTGCATCTACTGGCTGCCTCTGGAGCTGTGCTGTTACCTACCATAAAAACCTGAATTTGGTTTGTAGCATATTTTCTTCCTTTAGCTGGAACATTAAAGCATTGTGGTAGGCAGAGGAGCAACATTGCTTGCTTAAGGCAATATATCTAATTTGTATTTATATTCTGTGTATTTCTCAATACACGTAAACATTGCTCCTGAATTAATATATGTGAATTATCCCTTTCAACAGATAGTGCTTAAGGAAACTTCTCGATCAAGGTTTAAAAATTTGAATTTTATTACACATTCATAGAAAAGGAGTAGTTTCTAATGACAATTTAAATGTAGTCTTGAGTCTTAAAGAGGATTTAATCAAAGAGATACTCATCACCCAATATATAACAATGAAATTAGAGATTAGGCCACAGAATTTACCTGAATTGTCACACATTTTCAAACATATTTCTTACTTTATATATCACTTTCTTCATTTAGACAGACTCAAAATGAAATACTGGCTCAGCTGAAATTATTCGTTTCAGAGGTTTTATTATGAGGATTTTCACACATTAACCTATACATAAGTTAATTCCCCAAAGGTCTGAATAGATATTTTGAATGAATTTATTGCTGCTTTGTGTAGTGACCGTGTCAAGAAGTATCTACTAGATGCTGTCTTATGTACCCCCTTAACAAGTGGTAGTCATGCTCATTACATAGTAAGTTTTTCTTCCTTGTGCATATAACCATATTTAAAGGGAAAATATCTCTTTGATGTTGACTCAAGAAAATGTCTGTATTAGGGATAAGTCTTTTATGCAAATGAGAATTAGTACAATCATTCCTATCCTAAACATGGCTAATTCACTAATCACCCTATCATCTGTGTAATGAATCACATAACTCTTCCTACCAGAAGAAAAGGAAGAACAGAAAAATGTCATGAATAGGAAGAAAAATAACAAGAAATAAGCAAATTTTTTTTTTCAGAATCATTGTATCATCAAGAAAATGGCATCTTTGACAAATGCTGCCATGGAAATGGGCATCAAGAATCATTTTTTCAGTTATAGTGGCCAATTTTCTCCTGAATACAGACTTGCATGCACTGGGAGGGGCCTATGGAAATACTTGCTTTACCTTATTTTTTCCCAAAACATTCAGTTCTCTCAGGTAATGGATATTATTATTCTCTTCTTTGACTTTTTTTTAGAGGTTGATTTTTTTTTACCCTTTGAAAATTATCTGCCAATTGAATGCAAGAGTAGCTGATTCATGAAAAAGAGGAATGCAAAATCTGGTCCTAGCGGGCAAGTGAAAAAAGGAAGATGATTTTCTGCCCTTCTCTTTATTCTTTCTAATTTTACCTAAATAACCTGCTATCATTTTTAGGTGCTCCATAGTTCAAGAAAAATATTTTCAGTACACCTTTGAACACTTGTCAGTGTAATATTGAAGGTTCAGAGATAGCAATACCAATAATTTTAAGAGCAAAAAGAACCATGAATAATCAGCATTATTTTCAAAAGGTCATTCAGTACAATTGAGCTCTGCTATCTTATATCAAAACATATACAGGATGTTATTGCCAAGAATGTTAGATGACATTCAAAGCAAAGGCTTGCTGTAAAGGGAGTACTATGATGGCTATTTTCGGTAACTTGCCATTTAGTTCTGTCATTGATAAACTGCATAATGTCACAGGACATCCACTGGTTTTTGTTTTGAGCTGGAAACTCAATTCTGAAATGTACCTGAAAATAAGATGAAATCAAGTGTCATTAATTTTATTGCAGAACTATATCTAATTTAACAAAGTTTAAGAAATTGGTGTTTGTTGGTGTTTGTTGACTTTACTTAGACATGAAATACTGTCTGATTTGAAGTAGCTCCTACAATTTCAATTTAACACTTGTGTTTTTGAGTACAGTTTTGTACCTTTCCCAAAGTGCAGCCTCACAGATCCAAGATGGAATAATATTGAGAATAGAAGAGAGAATGAAGATAATAGGAGCATTATCTATTTGTGTATGCTATCAGCATTCACTGATATCATACTGATAATTCTGAATTCTTATTTTGGTATTTATATAAAAAATAAACTCAAGGTGAATTTCAGATGTCTTAATTGTCTCGTCTTCTGATATTTGAATATTGCATAAGCAATTATGGAGAGTGGAGGGTGGATTTTAGATAAATAAAAATATAGTGATTTGGTTTGGAAGTAATATCATGTATAATAACATGCAATGGAACAATGAAAAATACCCAAATAAGTGGAGAAGTAGATGAAAGATGACATCTCCATCAGAACAAATATTGGAACAGGAGAAGAAAAAGGATACCAGTCTTGTAAGGAAAGCTGACAGAAGTTTCCAGATTTGTGGTTTACAATGAGACTATCTTGTCTCAAAAGCTTTAAATATTTCTAGAAGAACAATTAAGATCAAAAATCTTCAGCAACTTTTTTAGAGCAGGAACTTGTGCAAAAAAAGGAGGAGGGGGTAAAATTCAAAAATTCAATGGGGTGAAAAGAAAGAAAATACTGTGACTGTGACTTCACACACTTTGTATGCAGTTCTGGGAGGACTGTGTCAAAGGAAAAGATAAAGAGAGCTTTTACTTTTGGCCACTGCCATATTTACTCGTGCTTCACATTGTGCAACTTTTTTTTTTCTCTGATAACTCATGCATAGGGTGCAACACACCTATTCCATTTCAAGAATTCTGCTACACTTAGGTAGTAACAGTGTATTCTATGAAACTGTGTCACACAATGTGATGAGCATGGAACCAAAAAAGAAAAGATTATTTTGCATCAACTCAAACACAATATTAGTGGTCTTGTTTATGCAAGATGTCTATGAGAATGTACATTCACTAACTGTAAATATATGTAGGACTATGAGTACGTTTCCTCTCATCAGGAATTAAAAATTAATTAAATAGCTATTAAAACAGAGATTCTACCTAATGCTCTCTTTAAAAGCCAGTCATCTAAATCAAATTATCTTAAGGTCTCAGCAACTAGCAAATGTCTATTATGCACACATCAAAACAAGTTTTCTGTTTTCTTTCGTGAGGATGCTTAAGCAATCCTCAATCTTTATCTGTGTTTGCTACATATATAATATATAATAGAAGTATTATATATCCCCTTCCTCCTCCTCCCAGAAAACAAATTTTTAGGTACAGAAATAGGAAAGTCATCTCACACTAAAGTTAACAATTCCCTGAATTGACTAGTTTTCAAATTACCAAAAACTAACAGAATAAGTGTTAGTGAATGAATGAAAGGAGGATCGTAAGATCACAGCATCACAGAATGGTCTAGGTTGATTAAAGGTCATCTACTTCCAAACTTCCCTGCCATGGGCAAGGACACCTTCCACTAGACTGGGTTGCTCAAAGCCCCACCCAACATGACATTCAGCACTTCCAGAGATGGAGCATCTACAACTTCTTTGGGCAACCTGCTCCAGTGCCTCATCACAAAGAATATCTGACAGAAACCTACATTCTGTGAGTTTAAAGCCATTCTCCCTTACCCTATCCCTACACACCCTTGTAAAATGTCCCTATCCATCTTTCTATTAGGTACCCTTTATGTACTGGAAGGCTGCTACAAGGTGTCCCCAGAGTCTTCTCTTCTCCAGGCTGAACCTCAACTCTCTCAGCCTGTCTGTGCAGGAGAGGTGGTCCAGTACTCCAATCATCTTTGTGGCTCTCCTCTGGACTCAATCCAACAGGTCCTTGTCCTCATTGTGTTGGGGGCCCCAGAGCAGGATGGAGCCTTTCTGGGCTGCAACTGCACATTGCTGGGTCATGTCAAGCATTTCATTCACCAGCATCCCCAAGTCCTTCTCCTCAGGGTTGCTCTCAATCTGTTCTTGGCCCAGCCTTTATTTGTGCTAGGGATTGCCCCAATCCAGGTGCAGGACCTTTCATTTGACCTTGTTGAAACTTCATGATGTTTGCACAGGCCCACCTCTCAAGCCTGTCAAAGTCTCTCTGGATGACATTCTTTCTCTGCAGTGTGTCGACTGCACCACATAGCTTGATGTCAGAAAATTTGATGAGGGTACACTTGGTCCCACTGTCCATGTTGCTAATTATAGACTATTAACTATTAACTGTATAAACTATTAACTACATAAGCTATTAACTATAAACTATTAAGATTTCATTATGCTTATAGTTTGTTAAATATTAATTTTAAAAATAATTCCTCTAACTACAGTTAATAAAAGTAGTACTCATAGTCATAACAACAAACTATTCTGCCATAAACAGCAAATAATATCAAGCACAATTTAATAGGTTAATAAATTAATTGTTATTACTCTAAAATATTAACAAAAAGTCTGCTACACTGAATTCTC